GGAGGGAGTGGGCCTGCAGTTCCTGGGAAGAAAGGTGTCCTAGGATCATTGTGCAGACCTGGGGTTCTCCTGAGGAAGCACTGAGGCTACAACAGGAGTGGATGTGGGCAGACCGCAGGAAGGACTTTCCTGAGAGGAATTGTAGAGGTCTGGGTTTGTTCATCTCATGACCAGCTCCCGTTTGTGCCTAGGGACTCATGAAATCCTTGAGATTGGTAGAGAGTGGAGGAAGGGCCCGAGAATGTAGGAGAGTCAGGAGGAGAGGGAGGAAGCTGAGGTGGGTCCTGCCCCAGCTCTGCCTCAGTGCTTCCTCTCTGCTGCATCCAGCTGGAGCTGTGAGTTTTGTGGGGTCAGCAAATCCTACAATCACTGGATCCAGAGGAAAGCCACCAACTGGCACAACAGAAAAGCAGGAATTCCTAGCCTCTGGAGACTCAAAACATTAATTTCAAGAGAGGAAAGTATAAGAAAAAAGAGTAAAATCTGTCATCAATAATCCTTTCATTGATTATATGCTGAAATTATAATAATATTTTGTAATTTCAAATTTGAAATTATAATATTATAAAATTATAATATTAAAACCATTTTCACCCATTACTTTTTAATGCAGTTACTAAAAATGTAAAGGTTATATTTGTGGTTCAAATTACACTTCTATTGGAGAGCACTGTTTTAGGAGCTTAATATTTTTGCCTCATGTTTTGGTCTGTGCTTCATTTCAGGTTAGCTTTTGTATAGGTGTTTGTTCTCCTTGTCTATCTGTTCCGACATCGTTTGTGGAAAAGAGGATCCTTCCCCACTGATTCACCTTGACTCCTTTTCATGAGCACATATGGTCCTATTCTGTTCCATTGACCGAGACTCTCCTATGCCAGCATCACTTGGTTCTGATCACTGGAGCCTTATGTTAAGTCTTGAAATCAGGTAGTGTGCACGTTCCAAGTTCCTCTTCTTTTCATAACATTATTTTCACTATTCAAAGACGTTTACATTTACATATAAATTATAGAATCAGCTTGACAATTCCTTTAAAAAAAGACATGTCTGTATTTTTATCGGCTTTTAGGATTCAGGATTGATTGCACTGAATCTTAGATTGATTTTAGAACTGATCTTTAACAATATGAAGTGTTTTTGATCCTTGAATATGATACTTCGATCCCTTAGTTTTTTTTAAATATTCTCTTAATGGTGCTGTGTAGATTTCCAAGTCTTGTATACTTTTCTTCAGTTGATCCCAAAATATTTTATTTTCATGCTATTATAAATGGAATTAATTTTTTTTGGTTTTCCTAACAAAACAAAACAAAACAAAACAAAACAAAAATCCAATGGACTGGTAATTTGTAGTCTTGGTAAATTCACCTATTAATGCTAGAATATTCCTTTACTTGGGAATTTTCTATGTATACAATCATGTAAGCTGCAAATTAGGACACTTTACTTCTCCTTTATAATCTATATTCCTTTTATTCCTTTTTCTTGCATTAAGGCTCTGGCTTAGGACCTGTGTAGTAGAAATGGTGACAGCTGGCATCCTTGCCTTGTTCCTTAAGTAGAAAGTATTCAGTCTTTGACCATAATGTATAATGTTGGCTGTAGGTTTTTCATACAGGCCCTTTACCAAATTGAAGAAGTGGCCTTCTGTTCCTAGTTTGCCAAGATTTTATCATGAATGGATGTTGAATTTTTAAAGGACATTTTCTGCATGGAGAGTATCCTATGGTTACTGTTCTTCATTCTATTAAAGATTACATTAGATTGATGTCTCTATAGCCATCCAAACTTGTGTCCTGAGATAAACCTTACTTGGTCATGATGTGTTGTGACCACTTATTTGTGAGTACAAACTAGAGAAACAAAGTCTAGACCCAAAAACTAGACTATCTCTGAAATATATATATACTCATATGTTTCAAATAGAACAATTCGGCATCTGGTTTTGCTCATGAAAAATCCATGTAGGGAATAGGTTCTTCAAGCAAGGATTCAGAGATTTGTTTCTACTTTATTGAGATATAATTGACACGTAACATTGTGTAGTTTAAGGAGCAGGGCCTGTTGGTTTGCTACATTTATATATTGCAAATGTTTACCAAAAGCATTAGCTAACACTACACCAGGTCCATAATTACCATTTCTTTTCTGTGGTGAGAGCATTTATAATCTACTTTCTCAGCAACTGAGAGATTTGCTTAGGCTGAACTGATAAGCACTTCCTCAGTGGTCCACCTAGCTCACCGTCTGGAAGGGAAACACACGCATCCTGCCTTTTTCCTCCCAGGAAAAAACTGTATCTAAGATGCCTTCCCATCATGAGCACACCCATAAACTGACCCATCTGGCAGAGCCCAAGGATTGGCTGGGCTTGTTACAAAACACTCAGGCCTCTCCGCAGACCCACCTTCTTAGAATGTTGGGCCTGGAATCAGGAATCACTTACTTCACAAGCCCTACAGGTGAGGCCAATGCACAGCTGTGCGGGAGTCCTGGTCTATGTTCCTGCTACTAAATGTGTGACCTGAAAACCACCAGCAGCAGCAAGCTTGTTATAAATGGAGAATCTCACGCTCTACCCAAACTGTGTGGATATTAATGGGATGTCCAGGGGAGCCCTGTGACACTAAAGGTTGGGTCTCCCTGCTCTATGGGCTTCTGCATAGAGCAGACTGTGAGTCTGCCCTGGGCATGTGGTCTGATCAGATCGCTCAGTACTGGGGGTGCACGGGTCAGATCTTGTTCCTTTCTCTTCTATCCCACAACCCCTGGTGACTTCATGTGTGCTCAGGGCCTTATGTATCAGTTCTATGGTGTCACCTCCAAGATTTATTTCACCATCCAAGACATTCCTTCTTAACACCACTGTGTATCCAACTGCCAACCTCATCTGCATTTCTAACAGACATCTCAGTTTCAGCATTTTTTAAATTGGATGCTTATGATGCTACTTCCTCAGGCCCTTTCTGGAGTCCTTCCCATTTCCATGAAAGCATCCACATTTCTCCCTGCAGTCTGAAATTGTGGGCGTCCTTGTTTCCTCCTTCTCACAACCCAGATTTAATCCGTCAGAAGTGCTGCAAAGTCCATCTTTAAATATATCCAGAATCCAATTACTTCCCATAATTCTCATGCTCACATCCCAGACAGGCAGTGGCCTCTCCAGCCTGGAGCCCTGCACTGGTTTCCTACAGTTCTCCCAACTGCTCATCTCCCTTCACTTCTTGGTTCTGCACAGCAGCCAGGCCGAAGCTTCTAGATAAGTCATACAAGGTCAGTCTTCTGGTCAAAATCATCTCTAACTCATCTTACTCAGAGAAAAATCAAGGCCCTGCTAATACCCTAAGGCCCACGTGATGTGGCCAGACACGGGACTCGTCTCAGTTGCTCTCTGCTGCAGCACAGTGGCCTCCTTGCCCTTCCTTGACACAGCGTTTGCAATGGAGGTTCCCCTGCCTGGAAAGAACTTGCCCCAGACATCCTCATGGTCATTCCTTCATCCTTCAAACCTTCACTTAGAGGTGACATTCCCAGTAAGGCTCACACTGACCACCCCAGTACAATAGCCATCTTCCCTGTCCTCACACTTATACTCTGGGCCACCTGCCTCAAATCACTTACCAACTCCTAATATAAACATTTCCCCTATTTATTATGCTTATTGATTTACGCTGCTCCTTCCGCTAGAACATCTGCTACACATGGCTTGCAATTTTTGCTTGTTTTTAGTTCTCTGAGGTGTCCTGTTATGTGTTATTATGTGAATGTCCTATTATCTGGCACACAACATACATCAGTTGAATGAATGATCCGTGTAGAGCACCTCCCTGTTCTAGAGACAATATCTTTACTAATGGGACCTCATATCACAGCTGTTTGGTGGCAGCTGCGGCACAACATCCACTCACAGATGTCACTGTTGCCTGTGCTTTCCTCACCAGTGTCGCTCCCCCACCTCCACGTCCTCCTTCCCACTCCATCCCTCCTGCACACCAGCACACAAGCATATTTCTTTCTTTAGAAAAGATGTACCTCAGCTTAAGGGCCATATTTTCCAAGCAAATATTAATCTAATCTAGGCCCTATTTCATAGCTCCATGAGTCTGGATCAGAGGCAGCACTGGCATTACCCAGAGCTAAGGAGGGAGGGAGGGCAGGTGAGCAGACAAGATAGACACTAACTGCAGTTTAATCCCTATGACACACTATTGGGTCCCTCCCCTCTCCGACTCCAGAATATGGCTTTATAAAGATGGGGATAAAATGAAAGAATAAAAAAAGAAAGGAAAGAAAGAGAAAGAGATGAGAGAGAGACAGAGGGAGAGAGGAGAGAAAGAGAGAGAAAGAGAGAGAGAGAGAGGAGAGAGAGAGAGAGAGAGAGAGAGAGAGAGAGAGAGAGAGAGAGAGAGAGAGAGAGAGAGAGAGAGAGGAAAGGGAAAGGGAAAGGGTAAGAAGGAAAGTAAAGGAAGAAAGAAAGAAAACCAGCCCCAGAAGAGGGGACAAGCAGGATGCATCTCAAAATTTCCCTCTCAATACCAGTCTCCTGCATGCATGGGCTGCCCTAGTGTTGTGGGGAGAATGACAGACCAGGGATAAATGCTGCTGTCAGAGGCGGGACACAGAGGTGAATGTCATGAACTCCACATAAGAACATGAACAGCCCTAAATCTCTACAGAAACGAACAAACAAAATTCCCAAAATATTAGGGCTAAGGGCTGGGTCCAGGTCTGAGCGTAGGCAGACCTGGACACACAAAGCCCTTCCTACCCCCAATCCTGGACATAGGACAAGGCCTGGATGATGTCCAAACTCCCATGATCACAGGTCCTGGTAGGACAAGGTTTTACTGAAGGGACACAGCAAAGGAGCAGAGATGACCCAGCTGAGGAGGGACATCAAAGCCCATGATGCACTGAGCCCACAGGCACAGGCCCCGTCCACACTGGGCTCCCTGCAGCCTCTCCTGTCCACACTCACAACAGACTCAGCACAGCAAACACAGATTCTGGAAGTTCTCAGTGCTTCCATTTATTTCTTCTCTCAACATTAGGATTCTTCCCCTTTAATTAATATATCAACCCCTATGGCAAGAATTAAAAAAACACAAATGCATAACAGATTCTCATTTTCAATTAGTAAGACCATACTACTCAGCCCAACATGAAGTGAAGACAAGGCCCAGACCACCTCTGCTGGAACAGGACAGTCCATCAGGGAAGAGAAGGCAGTCAGTGTGGGGAAGGGTCCTGGTGGGCAGTGGTGGACCAGTCTTCCCACCTCCCCACATTATGCTAGTAGGAACACAGACCCATTCAAATGCTCTTTGCAGAAAGAGGCAGGGAACACGATGTCACACAGAGGAACACGAACAAATCTTGCATCACCCAGTCCCCACAAGGCAGCCGCCTCACACTGTAAGAGAAAATCATCATGAACAAATTGAGGGCAGTCACCTAAGGGTGACATTCTCCTAGCCCACCCCATGCTCACAATGTCCTACTAAGAGTCCCATCACCCAGTGTGTCTCCTCTGCCCCAACTCTTCCCACCTCAGACCAGGGTCTCACCTTTAGCAGCCGTGAGAGACACATCAGAGCCCTGGTCACTGTCACCACCTGGGGTGGGACAGAACAGGATGAGGGCAGAGCCCGTGGGAGATGACAGTAAAGGGGGCATTATGGGGACTGTGAGCTCCCCAATGGGCTCCCATCTACACCCCCAAGGGGCTCAGGGACCACCCCCTCCATACTTACTTGCAGCCTGAGCATAGCTCCCTCCTTTTCCTCCTGTGGGAAGAAAACACTCTGTGAGAGGCAGGAGGAGGCAGGGCCATGAGGGCCTAGTGGGACTTGATAGCCCTGGACCACAGGGAAGTTTCCAGAACTGCTACTACAGACCCAGGACAGGATCAGGAAACAGGGAGGAAGGAGGTTTGGGGGGACTGGACCACCTGCCCTTCTAGAGTCTGTCCTCAGCAGGGACCTTCCCTCTCACCTTGGACTGCTGGGAATCCTGTCCCCATCACCAGATTTGTGAAGGGAAAAAATCTGTCCTTCATTTTCACATGTGCTTTATAGGAGCCAGTGTCAGCCCTCAGCTCCAGGCTGGGCAAGCACAGGGGTGTGGATGGCATTTCCCATAACAGGCAGGACAAACTTCCACCCAGGGCTTGAGCCCCCCAGTGGGCCAGGAGCACTCAGAAACACCCCCCTTCCCTACCTGAGCGCTTCTTCCTCCACATCACAGCTCCAGCCACCGCAGCTCCAGTGACCCCGAAGAGGACCAGGCCGGCAATGAGGCCCACGAGGGGGATGGTGGGCTGAGGTGGCTCTGGGGAGGGAAGGGAAGGTGAAGGCCTGACCTCAGGCTTGAATCCTGACCTTGCTGCTCTCCAGAGGAGATCTGCTCCCTGTGAAGAGGCTCCATCCATCACCTATTCTTACCCCACTGCAGAGTGATGGGCTTGAGCAGCCCCTCATGCTGCACATGGCATGTGTATCTCTGCTCCTCCCCAGAAGGCACCACCACAGCTGCCCACTTCTGGAAGGTTCCGTCCCCTGAAGGCCTGGTCTCCACAAGCTCTGTGTCCTGGGTCAGGTCGTCCCCATCACGCAGCCAGGTCAGGGTGATCTCCGCAGGGTAGAAGCCCAGGGCCCAGCACCTCAGGGTGACCTCACGGTCAGAGAAGCGGTGGTGGGTCACATGTCTTTTTGGGGGTTCTGAGGAGGAAGAATCAGAAAATTCATACTTGGGTTACTTCCATGGACCACTGAAGCAAACACTCCTGTGACCACCCTGAGGATGGACAAGACAACTGCTTGGAAGGAAGAGGCAGAAAACCCAGAAAGTAGCTGTGACTTGAGGATCTAGGATAATCTATTCCTTGGAAACTTCTAGAATCAGGGTCAAGCCCAGGCAGCAGGTTCTGGGTCTGTAAAGAGGGGAACACACTCGTGGTCCTTACTGGGGTTGGGGCTGATGTCTCAGAAAAGCTGGAGTCAGGACTCCTAAGATGTTCTCAAGCTGAAAACAAGGCCTTAAGACAGAGTCAGAGTTCCCAGGATGGCTGTCGGCGTCACAGTGAACCCCTGATGGGTTATTTCGGGATGTCTCTCCCCTCAACTCAGGAAAGGACTGTCCCTCTTCCCACCCACGGCAGGAGCCAGGCTCTGACACCGAGTCCATTTCCCCTCCTGTGAGACACCAGCTCGCCCCAAAGGACAGCGGGGAGGCCCGCGGCCCCTCGTACCTGCGCGCTGCAGCGTCTCCTTCCCGATCTCCAGGTACCTGCGCAGCCACTCCAGGCACCTGCCCTCCGCGTAGTTCCTGACGTGCTCCGCCGCACCGGCAGCCTCCCACTTGCGCCGGGTGATCTGCGCCGCCGTGTCCGCCGCGGTCCAGGAGCGCAGGTCCTCGTTCAGGGCGATGTAATCGGCGCCGTCGTAGGCGAACTGTCTGTACCCGCGGAGGAGGCGCCCGTCCGGCCCCATGTCGCAGCCGTTCATCCACTGGAGGGTGTGAGACCCTGGCCCCGCCACCGAGGTCAGCCCCTCAGCCCCGCGAGTCCCCGCACCCGCAGTGACGGAGCCTAAACTGAAATTGAAACCGGGTACGGGTTCCCGTGGGCTCTTCCCAGGTGGGAGAGCGGGCAGGGCCTGCAGCCTGGGGGCGACCTGTACCCGGGCCCGCGTCGCTCACCGGCCTCGCTCTGGTTGTAGTAGCCGCGGGCGGTGTTCAGGTTCACTCGGGAAGTCTGTTCGTTGCTCTTGACGGTCCGCGTCTCCCGGTCCCAGTACTCCGGCCCCTCCTGCTGCATCCACGGCACCCGGGGCTCCATCCTCGGACTCGCGGCGTCGCTGTCGAACCGCACGAACGGCGTGTCGTCCACGTAGCCCACGGAGATGTAGAGGGGCTCCCCGCGGCCGGGCCGGGACACGGCGGTGTGGAAATACCTCAGGGAGTGGGAGCCTGCGGGCGCGGAGGGGCTGAGATCCGGACCGACCCTCCTCCCCGCGCGGGCCCCGGGTCCCAGTGGGTGGGGCCGGGCGGGGAGGGGCTCGGGGCTCGGGAGACCGAAAGGGGCGGCGGGAGACCCGAGGGGGGTGTGGGCAGGAGCCTGAGGGATCGGGGGGACAGGGCGGGGTGGAGGTGGGGGTCTGGGCCGGGGAGCGGCGGCGATGACTCTTCCCCAGAGGCCCCCTCGCTCCTCCCCTCAGAGGCCGCGCCCTCCGGACCCCGCACTCACCCGCCCGGGTCTGGGTCAGGGCCAGGGCCCCCGACAGCAGCAGGAGGAGGGCTCGGGGCGCCATGGCACAGACCGTCCGCCTGTGGGGAGAAGCTGAGTCCCGGCGAGTCTGTGGAGACTTTATAACCCGGACCGCGGTGAAGCCGATTGGCTTGTCCGGAAACCCGACACGCAATGCGAGCGCGAATGGGCCTCGCATCACTAGTATCCAGGCGGGAGGACCCGACACAGGTTGTGAGCGGCAGAAGTGAAACTTCGGGGACCGGGGGAGTTCCCGACACTAAGCTTCCCCGCCCGGACATTGCCCTCGGGCCTGGGGCCCTGAGAGCCACGCCCTCCGGGGGACCTGGGGCTTTGCCCAGACCCCTCTCCTCCTTGGAGACCGTGGTGTCACGCTGTCTGCCAGAGTCACGGCCCAGGGTCTATGTAAGTCAGGGGTTCTCAAATATTTTGCTTTCAGGATATCTATACAATCTTACAGATGAGTAGGACCCCAAAGATAATTTTGTTTATGTGGGTTATAAATGTCAGTGTTTACTATATTAGAAATTGAAACCTTAAAAAAAGTAATTCATTGCAATATTAATAACTTATGTTAAAAGAAATAATATATTTTTATGAAAACTGCTTTCAAAAAAAGCCAGTATAGCAAGAACATATCTTTTTACATTTTATAGTTTGCAAGACTCTTTATTGTCTATCTCACTAGAAGACTCTTGGATATTCATATTTGCTTAGGTATTTAATGCTAATTTGGTTGAAGTATATGAAAAAATACACAGCCTCACAAATATGTAAGAGTATTTTTGATAATCTTTCCAGATAAGGGTAGGTATTCATCTTTGATACTAAATTAAAACTAGGTGTCAGTGCTTTCTCAAAGGTTATTTGCAAAGTGAAACCTGAACAGTATCATTGACTATTTCCTGTTTGTTACATTAAAATCCATACACCTACCTGCGTAATGACTGCATCTTGTACTAGTGCATGATACAGTGAAGTAATCCATTGTTTCATTAAGTTATTTAGCTCTGCCCCTGTTGATTACAGCGGAATCAAATTGTCAAAAAGTCACATTTGTTTCATGCTACCACAGATCCCAACAGAGAAATTGGTCAGTATTGAGAAGCTGTCAAGCTTATTAGTGGGACAGAAGTTTTCCAAAAATTCTGATTTTTACATTTTATCAAGGCAACAAGTACCATCAGTTGTCACCTATCAGCCGATTTTTTTGAAGGGACAGGCTAATGTTCATTTTCAAGAAAGTGTCTGCCAAATATCCAAGTCTAAATATTCATAGCTTCTATGCCATTTTGTGACACATTAAAAAGAGGCTAGTTCAGTTCATACAAATTATTTACCTTGGGACAGTACTTTCTGTATGTGTACCTCTCATACCCTTATATATTTTTAAAAAGTGTATTTGAGGATAGTAATTTTTAAAAGGTATTAATTTTTACTGCTCCAACTCAGATGTTTTAAAGTAAAACTAATTTGTATAAATGTGTATGAGTGTGTGTTTATTGCAAGTAAGTGGGGGATGAAGAATAACCGGCATTGCAGTTTGAACCCATAGCCTCCATTCTTGCTAGCTTACCTCAGTGCAAATACCAATAGATTGAAAGGTAAGTAAACTCTAAGTAATACTATGAGAATAGTTTTAACCTTATGGATCCCGTGGTAGGGTGGCAGTGAGTTCAAGGGGTCCACAGACTACACGCTGAGAACTGCTGTTCCTGATAAACCAGGAACTCTCCCAACTGGCCACCAACTTAGCCTCCTCTTCACTGACCCAGAATTCCTTTGCCTGAGCTGGACTCCCTGTTCTCCAACTTAGCTTAGAGCTTTGCCTCCCAGCCTCCTCCAGAAGAGAACTCATCCCCTGGAAATTTGATGCCAGAGAGTGTCCTCAGTCTGGGAAGGGAGGTGGAGGGACGAGGGCTTCCCATTTGGAATTGGAAACAGTTTGTGTCTGGAGGCACCATACCCGCTGATAATCTACTTTGGCTTTGTTCTACACCAGCTTAATATATATTTATGTCCCAGAGAGAAGTCTGTTAGTGACACAATATTGGCCCTTTCATTTTACATGGCCCTGATGTATCTGACGTGAGGCCCACAAAGCATGAAGAGCAGTCCTGCCCCATGGAACGTTCTGTGGTGAAGGAATTGTTCTGTATCTGCACTGTCCATAGGGTAACCACTGTGCCTATTGGGCACTTGAAATGTGGCTAGTGTGCTGAGCAGTTGAATTTTTATTTGTATTCATTTAATTAGAATTTAAGTAACCATTTGTGACTAGTAACTACCATACTGGACAGTGCATATCCAGAATGTTCTGAGTGTTCAGTATCTTCCCTCCAAAAAGATACTGTGTAACTCATGGTTGATAGATATTAAAATTATCTTCATATAGAAGCCATGGATTTATCTTTATATATATCTAGATATATCTTAAAATACATGCCTATGAAAGTTTAATTAGATACCTTTTAACAACTACAGTGTACACTACTAACAAAACATGACAAATCAAGGTGGTAAATGTTCAAAAATGCCCACCATGGAGCTAATCCTGTGTGTATTACATTGGGACTCTTGTGTTGTTTTCATTTATCTGGTGAACATAAGCAGGTGCATAAGCCTTCAACCAGATCAAGAGAGGGTATTTATTGAACACAATATATATCCAACATATTGTAGGCCATGTAGATACACTTGTGATGTTATAGAGCAGATGTAAACCTTAGAATTCTATACCTGTTACTCTTCTCCAGACTTCCCCCCAATTCAAACAGTTCTGTTTCCCTTCACCCTTGGACCCCTCTCTCCTCACCGTCTCTGCCTATGAAAATATACATGACATTTTTGCAATTATGGAGTGAAGAATTCTCTAAGCATGACCCAAAGATGAAAAACATAAAATTTCTATATGTCACCACTCATTCATGTAGACACAAACTCATGCCTATAAACTAAAGGACATGTAAACAATTTTGACAAAAGAGGTAACATGCTTCAGTGCTCTTCACCCAAAGACTACCAAAAGCACCTGTGGGCAGACAAGTTGTGTGTTTTACTCGGTGCAGTGAGGGAGAACACACACCACTGGGGCCCATGGGGTGTATTAGCATGAAGGTATTGGAACATATATAGGATTTGGGCTTTGGATGGGTGATTTGGGAGGGTCCGTGGAAACTGGGGCTCACTCCTGATTGGATGCTGTCAGGAAGTGGAGGCAGTGCTCTGATCGCCGCGTGTATTGATAAATCTTACCATAGTCAGAGCTGACTACAGCAAGGAGAACATTGTAATTGGAAAGAACACCCATTGCTGTTTGGGAGATGTTTGGTATTTTGTGGGTGCACCTGTGCTGTTATTGTCTGTGCTTAGACAGAATGATGCAGTGGTCATGTTTCAGCTCATGTTGTCATGGTCTCAGAGTGTCCTCACTGATGTTGATGTCCTGTGCAATGACTTATGTCCCACAGAAGAATGACATGGCTGAGTGGTGAGCATCAGGCCTGATTCAGATGGCACTGAGGCCTTGCTGTGTCAGGCCAGTTCCCCATGTTGGGGGCTGCCTTTTCTTCTTTTGTACATTCAATATTTTAAAGTAACTATGACCCAACCAAATAATAATTAAAGAATATTATAAAATAATTTGTAAAAGAATAAATGAAAATGTCAACAAATATATTAGTAATGAAACTAAACTGTATAAACAAAAACTAAAATGTTAAATAACAAATGGGAATAAAAATTTAAATCTAACAGCTTGGCAAAAATGAAACTAAGGGATGAAAGTATCTGTCAGAGGGTAGGGAAAATACACTCTGAAGGGATTGAAAATGGGTGTGAAATTTCTAGAAGACACTTTTGTAAAATGTTTCAACAATTTAATGTGCTTAAATTTTGACACAGAAATTTTATTTAAGGAATTTATCCTAAGAAGATAATCATACATGGTGTCAAAAGTATACATTCAAGGATGGTCCTTTCGTTATGGTCTATAAAGGCAAAGAACTAAACTTGTCTAAATGCTATAATCAATATCTCTCAGGGATTCATACCATGTGATTTGCATAGAGGGTCAAATTTAATCACCCAAGCAAACCCCTGAGGCACCCAGCATATGATCCCTTTGTACAGACAGGGACAGGGACTCACAGAGGCTTAGGAGGTGGTGGAGCAGGGGTTGAATCCTGAGGGGTTTCCTCTCAGAGGCCTTGTTGACTCATCTGCCCTTGGTTCCTTGTCTCTCAGGTGGTGGGTGTGATCTGTACTCCAAACAAATGAACTATTGCAATGTTGCAGAATGTTCTGTGACAGGAGACCACTAGGCTCAGAGCTCAGGAGGATGTCAAGCGGCAATGTGACTTTTCTACTCAAACCACAGTAAATCCATCTTGCAGCATATATTTCAAGGCCTCCAGTGGATCCGGATCAGCCAGACTCTGGAGGTTCAACAATGAGCAAGAGTAAGACCCTGGCCATGTGACACCAGCACTGTCCCGAGGGAGACAGGCACTGAGCAGAAATGCCGAAGATGAACATGAATCACCACTGAGCTGAGCTCATGAGCATGAAAGCAGATAGCAGGACAGCCAACAGGGCCTGACCACTGTATCAACAACAGCTACAGGATGTAAAGATATATGGCACAGGAAACAAAAGCAGAATCATATACAACTATATATAATCATAGAACAAGTGGGAGCTCTTGGAATTAAAAATACGTTCACAGAAATGAATAATTCAGTGGATGACTTTTAAGATTAAAGCTGTACTCCCGCTAAGTAGTGCAAATGGAAAAGTGATGGCAAGCAGAAGACCTGTTGCTCTATTAATCACAGAATTCCAGCAAGTTCATAATATAAGTTTCCCAAAAAGTGGAAAGTAGGAAAGGATAAAAAATATTTCAAGACAATTTCTCAAAATTTAAATACCAAAGTTTGAAAATCATTATAAAATTCTTACTTTAGTAGATGACATCTGACCCACACCAACACATCACAGTGGAATTTCAGAAAGAGGGTGGAAAGGAAGAGACCTTGAAAACTGCAACAGGCAACAAACACAGGCCTGGAGGCTGGGAGACATTGAAGCAATGCCTCCAAAGCCAGAGGAAGAGTATTTCCAACACAGATTCTCTATGATGTCATTGTGAACAAGGGGGAGGGTGGCCTAAAGACACTTCAGATATTTAGAGATGCAGAGCTTTACTCTCCATATTCCTTCTTCAGGGTACTAGTAGGCAAAGTGGGGAAAAAATGATGAAGGAATGAGAAACCCAAACAGGAAAATACACGGGATCCAGGAAACAGTGGAGCCAGAAGAGGAGAGGCCCAGGGCCACCCAGGATGAGGTGCAGGAGATCCAGATGTCAGCCCTGCCCCAGGTGTGCAGCATCCAGTCCATGTGGGCAGCACTGAGGGCTGTGGACCCCGTGTCAGCAGAGGTGATGGTGGTGATATAGCTGATGTGCTCAAATGTATTCTCTCAGGTTTACCCTGGGGAAGTTTGGGGATGATTTAGTAATAAATACAACAGAAACAAAGCAAATGAAGGAACCAGACTTTTGTTAACTACAGGTAAAATAAAAAGTTGATTCAAGAAAGGAAAATGATCACAGTCTACTAAGTGCTCCATTGTGATCTGCATTTACATGGTCATAATAGTGTAAACTTTGCACATTGAGCTAATTGAAATATGAAACACCTATGTTGGGAGGAATGGGGTGTGTGAAAGAAGAGCCAGTTCAGTAAAGATGATGCACAAAAATGAAAAACAAAGAAGGAGTGTGGTAAGCATGCCTGTTGGAGGCAGGGAAGTACCAGAGAATCAGCGAGAAGAGCTAAAACAGTTTTTTCCTGAGATTCAGGGAATGGGGTGGATGGATGTCTATCTTCATTACTAGCATTGTAGAAATACTGGACTTTTAAAATTATGTGCATATATCCATTCAGTAAAAATAAAAAGACAATTCAGCAGGTGAGAACACAGACCAGGCTTGTCCTAGCAGCAGTGCCATGGAGACAGGGCCATAGTTGGAAGGGCACGTGCGATTGAGTGATGGTTTTTTCTGGGAGGATTGTGTTTTGGTTTATGTAGTTTAGTTTTAATTTTTGAACAGGAGGAATCCCAGTCCTTTTGTAGAAAGAAGAGTGAGACAGTAGTGAGGGGGAATGGATGATGCAGGGGACGGAGGGCCAACCCTGGGCTCAAGCTGAGGACGCTTTAGGCAGGAGTGGGATGTCCCCGTCACTGGTGGGAAGGTGAGGAGACAGAAGCATATGGTGGGGGGCAGCTCTCACCTGAGTCCTTCTTTTCTGCCTGAAAATAGAAACAAGCCTGTCTGTCACCTCAGAGTGGGGAGTGGAAGGGCATGGAGGGGACTGAGAAAGGAGTAGGATAGAAGAGAGGCCTCTCAGGAGCAGAGGGTGAGTGGACTCAAGAAATGGCATCTGGAGAGCAGGGCTGGGCCTGGCTCTGTGCTCATCAGCTTAGAAAGAGGGTCTCCCCTGCCCTGTGACAGCAGCCAAAAGATGTGTGAGAGACTTGAAGAAATGCCACAAGTATCTCCATTGTGAGGATTTCTGTACTTTTTCCTTTGTCTTTTATCACTTTTAACATTTTACACTTTTTCTATGATGAATATTCATTACATCAAATATGGTGTACATTATACCTATACATCATAATGAGAATTAAGCAGGTTTGTTTAAATTTAAAAGGGAAAGCAGATAGGTAGAAAAGTGAAAGGCCTGGGGCTGGAAGGGCTGGGCCTGCATGTCTGGCTCTGGGCAATGCCCTTCCAGGCCTTTTCTCCGTCTCTCAGGATGCTGGGAGCTGTGGAGGCCAAGCAGGAGCTTCCTTTCTTGTGGAGTGTGGTCTTTTATTAGTGTGTCGTCGATTCTTTGATACTTAACGGAGATGATATTCGTGTTTTACACAGACTTTTTTAGCTATTTTAGTGGGAGGATTTGTCCATACAATCCACCTTTTCCAGAAATGGAAATTCAATGGCAAAATATTTGGGTGAAAAGTTGATGGTCCCTGGAGCAGAGCATCAGAATGTGAGGCTTAACACAGGAGCTGAACATGGCCTGTTAAGGGTTTCGCAAGAGTAAGGGTGTAACTCCGGGGGGGAAACATCCTGGGGCAAAATACCTTTGAAACAAAATCAGTCAAAGGGAGAAATAAAGTGGGAGAAACCCATTTATTCCTTACAAGCAGTCGTCCACTTCTCACCCATGTCACGACCTGGTTGTAGAAAAAAAGGGGCCCCACCCAACCTCTCAGTTCTGGATGCCCTTGCTCCCCTGTGTAATTACCTATTGATACAGAGATAGACTAATTCTCTCTACCCCTTGGAAACACCAGTTGATATGGAGGTACACTAAGGCCAGGGAAGAGATTCTGGAAAAATTGCAATTTTACCCACAAGGGGATTTTAAGGTAATTTATTTTTGACATTTATTCATGCTCTCACCAGTGAATTTTAACACTATTCAAGATTATACAAAAATAAATGTCACAATGTCCCCCACCACGCCCCAATCACCTAAATCTTCCACCCAGAAACCATCCCATTTGCAATTTACCATTTCTCTGCCCAGAAAAATATAACTATGCTTATATCTATGTATTAGTGTATAGCGTTGTGTCAGTAAAAGAACTCAGGCCACAGACTGGGAGAAAGTATTTGCAAATCACTTATCTGACAAAGGACTTGGTTTAGAATACACATAGAATGCTGGAAACTCAACAAGAAAACAAATAATTCAATCAGAAAATGAGCACAAGTTTGACAGACACTTCACCAAAAACGTGAATGACAAAGAAGCACATGAAAAGGTGCCCCATATCCTGTGTCATTAGGAAACCACTGGGATGCCGTTGTGGAAATCCCCAAACTGGGAAGCTGAGTGCTGACCACGATGTGGAGCAGCAGAAGCCTTCACCCACTGCTGGCAGGAACACGGAACAGCACAGCCTCTGTGGAAGATGGAGGTTTGTTATAAAACTAAACACAGACTCACCACTGATGGCTCCTCTAGATATTTACATAGACTATTTGAAAACTTACGTTTGCACAAAAACTTACATGAAGATGTTTATAGCAGAACACCCCTTAAGTGTGAGTGTGATCGTGACTTCCTTCCAAAGACTATGCTATGGAAGAACGGAAAGGGAGAGAGTAAAAAGGGAACTTCCCAGCAGGGGCCCTGGTTACCTGACCTCTGCCAGGTGCTGAAGGTTAACATTACCCATGATGATCCAGTGGATATCATATGCCTTTGATATATGGGGTTGAGATGGCACTTCATCTCTGAGGTTTCTTCTCCCAAACCCACTGCCCCAGTCAACCAAACGCAAACTGAGAGACAGTCTACCATACACCTGAGCCTCACCTCAAAATGTCAAGGTCATCAGAAACAAGGAACGCCTGAGACACTGTCACAGCCGAGGAGCCTGAAGGAGACTGACTGGGACTCAACCTAATGTGGTGCCTTGGAAGGAATCCTGGAACAGAAAAAAAAAAAAAAAGAAAGAAAACTACTGAAATCCAAATAAAATGTGGAGTTAGTAACATATCACTATTGCTTCATTAGCTATGACAAATGTGTGATGGGGATATACATGTTAACAACAGGAATACTGACTGTGGGATATACCGGATATCTGTAGTAACTGCAACTTCTCCATAAATCTCAAATTATTCTAAAAGCTTCAAAGTTTATTTAAAAGATAAATAGTCCTCAGAAAGGAACAGGGAGTGGACAATACAGTATCTACTTTCCGTCTTCCAGGGTATTGTCATCAGGGGGCTGGAGAGAGGGCTGTATGGAGGAAAGATGGGAACCTCAGACCAGGGCGCCCCTGCCCCTCCAGTCGCTGCCCCGCCCTCGCGCCTGAGCCCAGGGCTGCGCAGGAGCATCTTCATCCCCACGTTGCCCGGCCTCCAGGTCACCCTCCTCTGCCTGACAGCACAGCGCGCTCCTCGCCCCGGGCTGTGCGGACTCAGAGAGCGCCGGCGCCCCCTTGTGGCCGCAGGGCTAAGGACAGGGGACTTGAGCGCCCTTGCTCCCTCCCAAGGGACCTCCCCAGGGTCTCCTTGAGCTGCCAGTAGCAGGACAGGGCTGTGCACACAAGGGGGAGCCCTCCATCAGAGTCAGGTTAGGAGTCTGGACTGTTTCCCAAAATACCTACTGCCATAGACTTCTCATCCTCGTTGAATGACCATGCACTTTGGCCTCAAAGAGGAGCAAACAGGCGACCACATCCGGTTCCCAGATCTGGGGTGACCCCACAAAATTCTGGGTGCCCTTAGTCTCCTGGGGAGGGACCTTGAGGCTTGTTCCTGCTGCAGCTTCCGGGCATGAAGACCCCTCCTCCAGGGAATCAACTCTGGACCCTCCAGCCACAGGAAGGGATGGAAGAAGGGGAGGAGAGCCCCAGGGTCACGGCCTAGGAGGATGGGGAAGCTCCTGGAGAAGAGAGGAGAGGAAGAAGATGGTGACTCTAGGGGCATGTAGGCCCACAGGAGTGCAGGGGGAAGAAGTAGAGAGGAGGGGGCAGGGGAGGGGTCAGCTCAGTGGACACCTGTGTCGGGGGTGGGTTCTGTGTGGGGAGAGGCACAGGGTTTTGGGCTCTGCGAGAGGTCTCTGTGGTCACCTGATGCTGACTGCAAATGGTCTGCTCTGTAACTGGTGGTAAACCAAAGTTTATGCATATTTCTATACTTACACATATGGTATAACTCAAACATAGGTGGAGGAAAGGGAAAAGGAGAAAAGAGAGGTGATTGAGGAGATTCACCTCTCGCAGAGCAAGGATCCCTCCGTCTTGGGCTGGGGTGGCCAAGAGCACCACGGAGCACGGAGGAGGGAGGGCCTGACCACTGGAGGGGGCAGCCTGGGCCCTGATCCTGGGTTTCTAGATTCCCACTCTGAGCACTATGACTTCAAAGCCATGTCTGAGTCCATCCCCGGCTCACAGCTCTCTGCTAACTGGACACCCTCTCCACTTGCTAAGATGGGTAGGAACCACTCTGCCATAAAGAGCAGCTGCGGACCTCAGACTAGGAGCTGCCCAGCCCCTAGGGACCATGGAGACTGTTCCTGAAGTGCAGAGGGCAGCTCAGACCCGGAGGCTCAAGGCTACAGTGGCCACAAGGAGAGCAGTGGTGAGTTGGGCCCAGGCTCCTGCCTCATATCCCCCCAGAACCCAAGTGGGATCCTCCCCCTCCTTCCCAAGCCTCCAGAACCCAGGCAACTAAACACCATACCTAAGGACCCCCAAGGGAACCTGCCTTTCCAGGTGTCAGACCCCCCAACCTTAGGAGCTTTGAGCTTGTTTCCTCCCATCTTCCCAGCTCTGAGAGCCCAAGACCCCAGAGTCCTGCCTCTTCTTCCCCTTCATGGATCTAAGTAGATGCCACCTGCTGCCTGGATCCCTCAGGCCTCCCTTCCTGCCATCTTCAAACCCTGGAATTATATGTTCTAAATTCTTGAACCCAAATCTGACTTCTAGTATTGTGGAATGACCTGGAAGGTTGG